GCTATTTTCTGCAGCATGTTGTGTGTTGATTTTAACGTATTGACTTACGAAAGCGTTTTAGTGTCAAAGCGATATCTATATCGCGTTAGGTATGGTATAATGAGACGCCAAAGAGCTCAGAGATGTAATTGGGAGGTAAACATGCATGTCGCTTTATGGGTGGCGTAATGGCAGCCTCGTTTGCATTTCTTCCTTTTCTAAACTCACGTTTAATAAAGCGAGTTGGTGTTTACGGAAAATTTCCCGGCGCATCCACCATTTTTCTAGTACATCGCGTTTCGAACGATGTAATTAGAACCGTGAATTAACATTCCAGTCGGTTCGAGCAGAACTCGAAACTCCGCTTTATGCGTCCGTCACGCAGATAACTTTTCCAAGAGGCTCCTATTGTCGCGACTGTAAGAAAATATGCTTGTGGAGCATGTAGAGAGACACCGCCGACTGTATTCGAAGGTCCTCTTTTGTCCTTTTGTTCTACGTGTTGTCAGCGATTTCAATTATATTGGGTTCCCTCTTGAATTTCCGAGCCAACAAAAGATATTCATTATTTCGTATTGATATTCGCAGGTCGTACAGACTACATCGACTTATTTACAAGACGAAAAAAGGGTCGAAATTGTGATAGTTTGCCGCAACGCGATGCGTTTATCATATTTTATAACATTTAACAAAGTTGTTATCAAATGGTGTCAGCCACAACGGGCATTATCCTGGACTGCTGTTCATGAAACACTCTTTGATGTTATCGCGCTCTCATTACGTTGCATTCAACGATAGTGGCAAAAACGCTCATTTTTCTCCGGGATTATTTTGATATATTCCTCACTCGAGTTAATGGGGTCTACTTCCTTTGTGTTGTGTAAAATAATGCTAAAACACAATAGCGCCACGCTAATTCGAATAGAAGAGAAATCGTTTCGATTCGTGGTTGATTTAGCATTTCCATTTCAAAGTTGCTGAAGTTCTCGAGATGAAGTGCGATTTTATCGTGGCGTAATTTCAGGAAGTTCAAGTGATTGCCGCAGCGGCATTAACATGTCAGAGTATGTGGCGATGTCGCAAAGAACGTCTAAATTCAATTTTCCGTGAGGTTCAATGGTCTAAAATAGAAGCCTCGGTCATTTGCTCTTGGTCGCCAACCACATACGCTCCCTAATGTAACATCTCCCGGAATTGCAACTATTTCGCTCCGTTTACGTACGAGGCGGCTTTGTCTTCCTCCGCGGTGGAGCCAAACTGCGCCGAGAGCGTGATACTCTCAATCCGTTTAATAAAACAGAAAATTTAATTCGATTTTCGCCGAGATTCCGCGAATTTTCCCCCCACATTCCACGGCATGCACCGCACAAAGCCCGTGTGACGATTAAAGGTAGCTGTGAATTTCCGAGATATTTTCCATACACGTGCGTGCTCTTTTGATCATTTTTGTGTGTATCTTAATTTGTGGAGGAAGGAAATAATTATCGTTTCGTCCTTTGACGGAGCGAAACTTTATCTCTTTAATAATGTGGCAGTTCCCTGACTCGACTCGGTCTCTAATTAGAAGAGGGGGAGCTGATGTGCCACAATGGAATTTAAAATTCGATATCTGTTGAATTATGACATATCGCGTGTTGCCTGAGTCACGACAAGAGCGGTTTTGTCTTGGCTTTAAAATAATAATAACACCGTGGCGCCTCTTCGTACGCGAAACATTTTCCTATTACTCGAGCATGTGTTGCGGAAAATGCTCCTGCTTTTTTCCCTTGTCGATTCGGATCAGTTCCGGCAGAGTTGCAGCTCCGACAGGCGTTTTAACTTACATTTACTACGGCCACCTTTCAATTCCAGCACTAATTTAGCTTAGAAATGATCGGAATGAATTCGATAAATTCAATTTCGGGTTTTATTGCAGCAGATGCTACCGGCGGTTGTCACCATATGGTCTACTAAAATCCACTTACCGTACAATAAGACAGCCAGATTTAATTAACTGCATGCACTCAACGATCCAACTTCTCCCTTCTTTTAATTGCGGAAATGTCCTCCGAGTGCCGTTTCGCTCTCGTCGCACTTTTACAAATCATAAAAACTGATAGCCCTTGTTGTACGGTGGGGATTTTACGTCCGTTTGGAGACATCCCTCGATTTTTTTTCTTTAGAGTGTGTTTGGCAATGGAAACCGCAGACCATTTACCGGCTTGATTGCACCGACGTCATAAGCTGTTGAGTGGATTTTCTAACACGTTTTGTTTGAAGGATTCAAGATTAATTGAATAGGGAGGAGAGGAGGTTGTCTCCGCCTGGGAAATTGAGATTTCCTCTTCGTTCTACGAGAGTGTACATTAGCGAGTTGTACTTTTTGCGGCTGGCGGGAGACCTCGGAACTTTCCCGATGACGTTTCGATGACGTCCGAGATATTTTCTTCATTCGCACGTCTTCTCCATTTGACGCTCGTAGAGCCGTTTTCTTTGTTCACTCCGCTGTGTAAGTATGCTTTTGCCAAATCATCCGAATAACTTTCGTGTTCTCGATCAGCCGGTGAATTTTTTAAAAGAGTCAATATAATCCTTTGCGTTTCGATGCAAAGTGAACCATACTTGATAGGGATTACGATCATGCGATAAGTTAATCGTCGCAATTTTTAAAAAGCGATATAATTAGTTTTCTCTTGTGGTAAGGTTTATCGACATGAAAATTATTACGAAAGCAATTTAAGAGATAGACGGAGTGAGCGAAGCTCGTGACGCGTCAAATGTATAACTGGCTTGTCACGAGCTTCGATCTCACCGTTTATCGACATTCGCACTATAATGATTTCACCAAGTATATTATTCCTATCCGGGAAATATTCAGCCGATGCTGGGATGCTGGGAAAAATCTTTTATACTTCAAACGTTAATGTGACAATAAGGTATAAACTACAGCAAAAATTTTCAAAATTACAGAAAAATGACGTCTAAGATTTTCTGGCTCACACTATATTGATTTCAGGATTTATAGAAATAACATCATCGAGTTTCTAGAAGGGGTAAATAACAAATTTTAGTAAAAAAATGTGTAATCTATGACAAACTGAAAAATTCAATTACTCAAACCGACGTTCTATGGTATTTCGCGTAGGTTGAAAATATGAATACATTTATTGTTAAACATGTAAAAGATAAATGACGTGATTAATTTTTTTAAACATAATTTTACAATACTTTCAAAATTTTAAAATAGTCGATTCATCACTACCAAACAACAAAGGAAACACGTGCAGTTTCGTATTCTCCAAGTTATGATACGCCAAAGAGTTGGTTATTCGTTCATGTATTAGAACATTTTCTAAATCAATCAATATATCATAAAATAAGAACATTTAAGTAAATTAAGTTCCTGTAATTTTTTGTCTCTAGCTAATTAAATTTTCGGTTTCCATTTTTATTGACGAACGTGCTAATATACGTTAAAGTTTACACACTAGCTGTACATATGAACACAACAGACCAAACGCAACCACGGCGCCGAAATTTAATAGTAATGTCGATGCGTGTCGTCAACTGAGTTGCGGTTAACATTTTTCATAGGAATACATCTAAAAACAATCCTTTGATCCCCTTCGATCACACATATGGTGCTTAGTTTCTTGTCAGTTTTCCTCATATTATAAAATATGGTGTTTAACGTGCGCGCACTTGAATTTTAAAACTGTGGAAAATACATCGTGTACAACCATAAGGTAACAAATAAGGTGACAATTTCTTCTTCACCTTGCTGTGTTACATACATCATCCTAAGAGACGTATCGCATTCTACCAATCCTTTTTACATACAAATACAAGACCGTAAAAGCCATTTTAGGGGATAATACCTCCAAAAACCCTCTTAATGAATAAATCTTCGAAACTTTTACACACAATAGGAAAGTAGCGGCACATAGCTTGTTTCCAGTCCCTTGACGACTCATTTCATGGAAGTCCTCACACGGAAATTTCGTGGTAGGTAAAGTAAATGTAAATTTTGAGGTCTTCGTTACAAACTGAGCTCGATCGTGGTTTTCTTTCCTGTTTCTCTCTGTTCATTCGGCGTAAGTGACTCGGATTTTTAAAGCAGTTTAGATTCAGCAACGATAGACTTTTTATTTTCTGATTGATGTTGGTAGTGGCTTCCGTTTTGTCAAATGAGTGTTTGGATATGATTTTTGAAGATAAAATTCTGTGTCTTGTGTGATAATAATCCCTAATTCCAGCGATTTGTCTTGCCGCCGTGCTGCTCCAGAAAGGGAACGCTCCAGAACGGAAAAACGCATTTGCCTATCTGTGCTGTCCCACGTAAACAATGAGCCAGTCGTCGTTCTTATCGCGGATATTCCAATCTCCGGTCGGTTTATAACAAAAGGGCTCTCCATGGTTCGTCTGCGTGACGTCACATACAGAACGCGACTGGTAAGTGACGGCGAGTGAGTCCCTTTGAAAGCCGGTCTCGATCTAATTACACCATGACATGAAGGGAAATCACATTTCAATGTGCCGTTTGTATTGGTCCTGATATGATATTAGAACCGTGGATGAAGCTGTGCACTTCAATATAAATGGCCAACGTTATGGCCTCACCCCTTATCGCCGCCTGCTTAAGCATTAATTTCGTCTTTTGTTGAGCAGATATGGATTGGTTTCGAGAGGCTGCTGCATCGGAAAGGCGCCTTGATTAAAATATAGACGCTCGAGAAACAAGGAACTCATTAGATTCATATTATTGTGACACGATTCCGTCGCTTGCGTCCTATACTGTTTGCGTTCGTTTTATTACGAGGAAACTTTTATTTTCCTTGTGTATGTGTACAAGTTTCCCTCGCTTTGCATATATATTTTCCTTTGCTTCGTGCGTCCGTCCGCGTCCGGAAGAAATCGTACAAATATTTGTTCCGAATTTAATGTTCATTTCATGGATTAACTTTGTTTGCCGAGAACGAAATCGAGTTTTGTCTTCATCGATTCGGCACGTGGAGACTGTACCCTTTTTTTGCGTGTTTCAGGAGCGGTCGGTGGCGACGACGATGGCGACGACAAAGAAAAAGAGGAAGAAGCCGAAAGGGAACGATTGGAAGCCATCCGCGAAGCTGAAGAGCGAAGGAAGGAGAAGCACAGGAAGATGGAAGAGGAACGAGAAAAGATGAGACAAGAAATCAGGGACAAGGTCGGTGGGGCGAATAAATATTTTTTCTAGTGTTTGTCTGTATTGTGGAAACGTCGAGTCATTTTCATCTAATTTCCTCGATTGCGACGAGGTATTTCGCGACAATCATTAGTCTGACGATTAATCAACGTCGTTATTATTTCGCGACGCCCTGTAGACGTGTTAACGAGCCGTGACGTGGAGCGTGGGGGCGAACTCCTATGATGTATTTGCGGCTGTCACGACTGACCCTTTCATACATAATTTCGTAACGAGAATTATCGAAATGTCAACCGATCGACATTGATCTCGGTTTCGTTAAATCCGACCATTTCACATTTTCGAACGGGGAGAAGTGAAACAAAACCTTGGCCTCGTTTTATTATTATATTCCCAACGAAAATAACTCCCTCGGTATTTTTAATGTTCTCGGGCACGATTCGAGTCAATATATATACTTTTTCTTGTTATCGCCGAATATTTTCGTGTCTGAATAATTAAACATTTCGTTGTTTTAGAATTGAAATTCAGACCGACATTCCGCGAGCGAAACTATTTTTGATTAATGGAGGAAGTGGCTTGGGAGGGAAACCCGGCGCATCCACCATTTTTATTTCTTCGTGTTTGATCGATGTGCTTTCTCTTTGATAAGTGGCCGTCGGTTTGATCTGTGCGTGTAAATTTGTAGCGTGTGCCTTCATAATGCTATTATTAACAAGCCATTTACTCAAGAGATACAGTTCACATAGTACACTGGTTATAATAGCGGTAATCAGCTTTGTGGTGGGAACTATTGAAAGTAGCTCAACGTTGCAGTAGGAATCAAATTTATGTCAATGTGTTAACGTTATTAGTGGTGATAATTGGCGACACATGCCGCATACGGAACGCCAACCTACTAATCCTTATGGTCGTTGGCCCGCACAAAATTTTTTCTCTCAACCGACCTCATAAATCTGCACATTAGTCTGCACCCTAGTGAATCGTAACACAACGGAGCACTGGATTTCCCTAATTATCCAAACAGGGAGCGTGTTTAGATGTAATTTATGCGCTGGCACCCTTTGAAATACAACCCCTATTCGAACCGACGTGATTTTCTTCGCAGTAGCCGAAGAACGGTAGTAATGGCGCACATATGCGGCCGCTTGTAAACAATTTATGACGAGATATTATGATAAGTGAGCTGTAATCCTTTAGTGTTGTGCCAACTTTACGGACGCTATTTTATTATATACGGAACAAATAAGCTTTCATTGCTTATAGTGGAGGAAAATTAGGTGTAAATTGCAAAATTGTAGATACACTTTGAATAATCTGGCTTTTTTAAGCATCGCTGCAGATAATTATTCTACGTAGCACACTGAAATATCCGAAGATTTTAAGTTTTTGCAACACATTTCAGTTCCATAATTGTGATACGTAACAGTGGAATTAAAAAAATTACGATTTCTATTCTTATGTAACTAATACTGATGTAACTCCAGGTTTCGCGTTTAAACGAAAGATCACCCTTGTTTTAAAATATGTGACCTCTAAAGTATTTTCCTTTTTTTTCATAAAAAAACAAAGTAGTTTCCAAAATTTCAAAAGAATTGCATACAGAAAAGAGTGACTGGGAAATATAGAAAAATCTATTTTTCCTAGTCCAGTGTTTACTTAAAAAAATAGAAGTGCATGATATTAGGTGTAATTCTTATTTTTGTAAGAAAATCCTGTTTTTTTTTCAAAAATTTTTAACGGACGCCTTTCACAATTGCAATGAATGAGTGTAAATAACTATAGTCATGCTACAGATGCAGTAGGACTACTTATTAATAATACTTCATATTAATAATAATTGTCGCTGTGAAACCGTTCCTAAAACAAAAATGAACATAAATTTTCTGTAAAGACTACGCTTACACTTTCGTTGCGCATTAGTATTCATTACGTCGACCGTATTCAAATGACATTAAAACGTAAGACAAAAACAAACTAAATTTTATACATCAAACACCAACTGTTGTTGCAGGTGAAATAAACTCTAGACCTGTGCTATTCACAACATAATTGCCTTTTGTTTTTCCATGTAGCTTCATTCACCTCGGGTAACGTGATTATTTTACGTTACTCGATTAAAAGTTACAGTTTAATTTCTTTTAACGTTAAACGTTACCGTTAATAATTCTTTTGTCCGCTAAATATAACACTAACGAAATTGAAACAAATTTATCACGAGTGAGTGCTTTTGCGACAAAAACACAAGTTGTTTACAGGTATTTTCTACGTATTTGCAACCTTAATCGATGTGTTTGTATGAAACTCGAGTATTTCGTTATTTATTTAAATAGTATTCCCATCTGTGAGGAATTTCACATTAAATTCAGAGTATATTGCCGGATTAGTTGTTTCGGAGCGTACAAAAACATAAAAACTTATCGCATATATTTTTATCTTTGATTCGTTTGATAATATATTCAGAAAGCTCGCCCGTGCTATAAAAACAATTCATTTTTAGGGGATATTTATTGACGTTTTTGAAACCTTTGATCCGAGTGGCGGGACATTAATTGGGGAGCATTAAATTTAATAGCGATTATTGAATTCCAGGTTGTTACTCGTAAAAAACATCAGATACAAAATGTTTTTTCATCTCAACGGATTTAGCAAATTATCTTCGAACAACCACGGGAAGTCAAATAAACTTTGTTTTTTAAATGGTACGAATTTGTTCTGACCTAAAAATATTGTTTCTACGACACAATCAATATGACATTTGCAACATTTTTTATTAAATTCAAACATTTTTATTTAACAAGCTGCATATAAGGGTCGTTGCGCCATAAGGTGAGAAAAATCTTTACCATCGAGTGTCAACTTGACGACAACTTTCACTGAGCGCGTATTATTTTTATAATACGATAAAGTATTCAATTTTACTTTAAAAAAATATGTAGACTTTTATCCATACAATAGTTAATTGATTGATCTGCAGCGTATATGCACTAGAGCTTTCTTTTCATAGCTTTATTTTTACGGAGTCTACTTTTGTTGATCAATCTATTTCTCTTCTCTTCGTGCTAATAATTTCACGGCGTGATTAATGCGCTTACAGAATGTCTGTCAATACGGCGCAAAAAATATGACGTTTTCAAGAGAGGGTCTCTCCACCGCACTAAGAGGATTACCCGTTTTTCAGAAAACACACTCTTTCAGTGCACCATGTCTTTCAGAGAGGATAATCCCGAGTGTAAACTCGCCTCTTTAAATGAAAATACCAACACGTTGATTGCATTTTGCGAAAATTTCGCCTCCTCATGGTCCAACTATTAATAACGGATTCGTATCATCCTAATTACTTCGCCTAAATTAAAGAAAAACACACAACTCGCGCAAAAAGCACACGGTGACTCGACAAAACCCCAATCACACGTATGGATTCGTATGTTAATGATAATTTGGTATTTTCCCCTCGTAAAACCACCGCCATAAATCACGATCCCTCTCCCCTGAATTACAATATGCAAATGTGTAGCGATTACGTAAATTGTTAGAAAAACGGAATGAGGAAAAAAGCCTCCTCTCACTTTGAGAGGAGCGCGAGGTTGTATAATTCATCTCTGGATGGAAAAACGGCAAAAACATACGTTCTTTTTCGGGTACTCCCCCGGTGCGCTGCTTATTTATAGATTTCGTTCGGATATCAGTTTTTTTCCCTTCTTGATAAAATAATAAGTATGTTTGGTCGTTTTATTGCGATCGTCGGACCGCTTTAATGTCAATTTTCTTGAGTTTTACTTTGATTATTAGTTCTATTTTTCCGCGATGCTCTGGTGTGTTGTGTTTGTTCGAGCGCGAAAGAGGATTGGCGGCGGGGTTTCTTTTTCACGATATTACGTTCCTTTTTTTTATTTACGACGTAAATTTTGCAGCGTCACTAAAATGCGGCGCGGAAAGATGCTTATGAACGCCCTCATATCTTTGCTGAGACGAGTATGTCGAAAAACGAATAAACAGATGTAAAGTAACTCTCATAATGTGATTTATGTTATTGAACGTCGCGTAAATTATTCTTAGCGCTTATGCACATTTTATGAAATTTCGAAAGCTTCTAGCTGCTGCTGTGGAAAGGAAGGGAAGTTTTTAATCTGCCAAACTTTAAACAAAAACCTTAGAACTTGATGCACTCACTCTTCCCGACCGAGGAGCTTTTGAAATATTATGCATAAATGAACATTGACTTCCCCCAAGTGATTTTTCATTTATCCACATCCGCGAAACATCACAATGAGCTTCGTGCAAACAGTTTTCAAAGTTGTTTACTACGATGGATTCAGGCTCTTAGTACTAGAGAAAACGTACATTGAAACCGGACACTACTTATAAAGAGACTAGGTGAAAACATCAATCAAGGTCCAAAATTTTGGTCTCAAAATGAGCGCAGTAAACAACCACGTGACAGACCTTACGTCAATCAGATGTCTCTAAACGTCTCATTACCTTAACCTCTATTAAAATATTCCCGAATTGTACGTTTTATGCATTTTTTTTAATCAAGTTAAATTATCTAAAGATAGATAAGTTTTACTCCAAATTTCAATGTTAACTTAAAAGTTTATTTACTAACAACTCTTGTAGTAAAAACTTGTTAGAGTACAAATAAGCTCCACAATCTCTGTTCATTTGATCGTGTTGTACATAACATTGCGTTATAAAATTTTATCTTACAAACAACGGCATATACTTCTAGCCCAAAAGCACTGTTTTAATTAAATTACCTCTGTCAACGGGCGCGGCGTTCGTGAGTGCCGCGTTCTACGTCCTTTATTATTTTCAATCTGTCTAAACGATTTGCCATAGCTTAAACAGTATATTAATACAATCGCAACACTATCTTCTTGAAACAAACTATAATAGTTGAAGAGGTTTACTGCAAATTGCGTTGTGAATGTGAAAATTTTTGCAATAGCAGTTTCTGTGTACTTGACTTGAGTTATACACAACACCCAACACATTCTCGGCTTTGGCTCGCAGGCTGT